TACACTAAATGTAGCTAATATCCTTGCACAAAGGAGTGCGGCAAAGGTTGGATCTCAAACAACACTATAAAATCTGTCATACAAACATATCCGTAAAAAATGAATGACTTAGATGCAACACTTGTGGTTGTGGAAACTATTTTGAGTTGGTGGCTACTCTCGGCTCACATTGTCATCTTTTTGGAAATCATGATTGAAGGTGCTTCTGAGGTATTGAAATATTTTGTTGTTGAAAATTATCGAAAAAATGTTTGAGTTAGCTTAATTAGTGATACATATATGACAATTTATATGATTACCAGAATTACAAACCACATGAACAAGAAATATACAAAATATGTGGGGGAGATTTAGAGAAACAGAAATAGAGAGATTGTTTAGGGTAAAAGAAATTTTAAAATTGATTTACATTGTTTGCCTTTTGAAAGTTACGCTTAATACTTGAATTGACTAAGTATTGAGTGTAAATATAAATTGTATTTTAATGATATTCACAAAAACATTTGCGACCTATTTTTGTATTTGCGTGATAACTTCAACAAAATTAATGGTCTAAAGTTAATTCTTAACAAAAGACTAGACTTACATTTTTTTCCATACTTTTTCTTTTAGGTCTACTCTTAAAGAAAACATAAAGTCTTTACCTACATAGAAATAATATTATTGTTAATAATATTAGTATAATATAATTTGTTGGATGACTTTGAGTAAAATTTTATCTACTGATATGAAGATGTGAATAGTTTAATTAAAAATTCTAAAATATTGTCTAATATAAAGATTATACAATTTTCTTATAACTTTTTGAAGGAAAAAGAGATTGATATATTCCTCAACTTTGCTATTTAGAGTTGATATACCCTCGTTACGAATATATTTATGTAAGTTTCCCATTCATATATACCCCTACTGTAATATAAATGACTCACAAATACGAGATACGACCAAGGATCTTTAGTATTTTTTTGTTTTACTTTAATTAATATTATTGATAAAACTAATATGTAAATAACAGCGAAAGGTGAGAGGAGTTATTTAGGACCAAAGGTCTTTAATAAATATTAATTTTATGATAATTAATTGAGTACTCCCTCCGTCCCTAATTACTTGTCCACTTTTGAATTGACACACATATTAAAAAACAATTAATGACATAGTAAGTTTACCATTTTACCCCTACTAATTATGAAGTGGATGAAAAATTATACATTTTTCAAAGTAATTAGTCATTTAATTGAGTGTATAATAGGTAAAAAATTATCCTTTCTTGATTTGTCAAAATGGACAAGTAATTAGGGATAACTATAAAAGAAAAAATGGATAAGTAATTAGGGATAGAGAATATTAGTTATTAATATATATACTACTAAATACTAATGAAGTATACTTTGGACTATCATAATGTCCGGACAAGTCCCAAACGACCATGTCATCTCCAACAGATTCAACCTTTTCCCTTTCCCCCTTTAAATCAGCCAAACATAGAAGTTGTTTCACATCATATAAAAATTTAGGGAAAATGTTCAAATATGTTATCGAACTTTGAGAAAAGCTAAGGCTCGTTTATACTATCCGTTAAAAGATTGACTCATCTATGTCATTTTCATTTGAAAATAAAAATTCATCTATGTCATTAATTGTTAACTGAAAAAAGTTTTGATTTTGCAATTTTTTTTACACGTGATCAATTATGATAATAACCAAGTAAATCTGTCAATGATAGTGTGTTTAGGTAGGGATTTCAATTAAGTTAGAGGTATTTACATAATTTAACTTATGTAAATACACAAGAATATAGCCTACAAGGAAGTATTATGTGAAATACGATTGCATGGTACTATTTTGAAAGTAGCCAAATCGGAAAAACAATATACATTACATGACAATAATGAAACTCTCGTTGGTTGTTTTCACAGATTCGATTGAATAAGAAACGAGATGACAATCCATGCAACTTCCAAAGAACATAATACTGTCGTGTAGACTTATGGGTACCAAATGTGGATTCAAACCCAATTAGTTACTTAGAAATTTCCTAAACATTCAGCAATAAATTGTATGTCTAACTCATAAGAAAGTTTTTAAAAGATGTTCAACAATGACTGGCCAAAAACAAGTAATGCAGACAATTTGTAAGGCATAATGGAGTACTATTATTTGGTGAGCCGGAATCATTCGGTCCAACTATTCGTTAAGATTAAAAAATAATAAATAGAGTATAGACACTATTTCATGGTTGTATTATGGCAAATATAGAATAAAAATTGATTCAAGCTTATAAGAAACTCAAGAATTGATCTAGTATTTATAAATGTTCGATAATTTATAATTTGAATATTATTGGATATACATATTACAATTTTTTCGGAAAAAAACTGCGAATGTTTCCTTTTCAGAATTTATGTGTTTAAAATTTATTTATATTTAAAGATTAGGTTAGAAACATTTTCCATCACACTTTATAGCATTATCTATAAAAAAAAATAAAAAATTCCAATTTGGTTAAGATAATGATTTACTGGTCAAAAAAGTTTTAATTTTCCATAATTGAACTTTATGGAAACTTACTTTCCATAATTGAATATACAAATCCGAAAGATAATGATTTACTTGGGCAAAAAAGTTTTAATTCCATAATTGAACTTCATGGAAACTTACTTTCCATAATTGAATATACAAATCCTGTAATTAGAAGAGGAAAATTTATAATCCAAATTCTAATAGGATTAGAGTAACCTCTTAGTTTATACTTATATATATATATATATAACTGTTATACTTGGCGATTCAACCATATTCCATAAATTGTATTGCAATGGCGAGTAGTTTTGCTACTTCTTTTGCAGTTGCAGAGACAGGTCGTTGCAGTTTGAATTGTGATTATTCGTCTTCTGTGCATTGTTTTCGTGATCAAGTTAGATTTTTCGGGAAGAGTTGTCGTAGAATTAAGCCATTGGTATATTTGTATTCATCAAGCCCTAGATGTGAGGTATCGGTGGTAGAAAAGGAATCGAATGTTTCAGGTTTGGAGGTTCTGAAAACATCTGATCGATATATAAATATGAGTAGCAACATTATGGTTATTGGACTTAACATTCATACAGCACCAGTTGAATTGCGGGAGAAAGTATCTATCCCTGAATCAGAATGGCCTCAAGCAATTCGCGAATTATGTTCCTTGAATCACATCGAAGAAGCTGCTGTATTGAGTACTTGTAACAGAATTGAGATATATGTTGTCGCGCTTTCAAAAAATCGTGGGATTAAAGAAGTGACTGAATGGATGTGTAAGTATAGTGGAGTTTCTGTTACAGAGCTCCGCGAACACCGGTTTTTGCTGTATAATAAAGATGCTACACAACACCTGTTTGAGGTAGCTGCTGGATTGGATTCACTAGTATTGGGAGAAGGTCAAATTCTTGCACAGGTTAAGCAGGTTGTTAAGAATGGACAGGGGGAAAGGGTGCCTGGATTTGGTAGAAAAATAAGTGAGTTGTTCAAGCACGCAATCACAGCGGGTAAGAGGGTTAGAACTGATACAAATATCTCAAGTGGATCAGTATCAGTTAGTTCAGCGGCGGTGGAGCTTGCTCTGCTGAAACACATTCCAGATTCTTCTTCTACGTCTCCCCGTGTGCTGATTGTTGGAGCTGGTAAGATGGGAAAGCTTGTGATCGGACATTTGATTGCTAAAGGGTGTAAAGAGATGGTTGTCGTAAACAGGACAGCAGACAGAGTTGCTGCTATCCGTGAGGAATTGAATACGGATAATGCTGGTGTTATAATAGAGTACAAACCATTCTCGGAAATGTTATCATGTGCTGCACAGGCTGATGTGATATTCACCTGCACTGCTTCGAAAGATCCTTTATTCGTAAAAGAGAGTGTTCAAGCTGCTCTCCGTTGTGTGAACTCCTCCCGGAGTAGGCTATTTATTGATATTTCTGTTCCTCGGAATGTGGAGTCTAGTGTATCAGAACTTGAAGGTGCATGTATATACAATGTGGACAATCTTAATGAGGTTGTGGAAGCTAATAAGGAGGATCGGTTACGGAAGAAAAAGGAAGCTGAGGTCATCATTGCTGAGGAAGTTAAAAAATTTGAAGCACTTAAAGACTCTCTTGAGACTGTTCCAACTATCAAAAAGCTGAGGGCGTGTGCTGAAAGAATTAGGGCTGCTGAGGTTGAAAAGTGTTTGTCTAAGATAGGTGATGATGATCTCTCCGAAAACAACAAGAATGCGATCTATGATCTCAGTCTAGCGATAATAAACAAGATGCTACATGGACCAATGAAGCATTTGAAATGTGATGGAACTCAAAACCGGAATTTGAGTGACATACTTGAAAATATGCATGCCCTCAACAGAATATTTGATCTTGATACAGAGATGGATGACAAGTTACAAGCCAAGCTACAAGAAAATCAAAAGCAATCTTCTTGAGTTCAATCTGAAATGATCATAGTTTCTATTTTGCTAGTTTTAACTGTATAAAATTAACCAGGATATGATGTAATTCTTTTTTAGGCCATAGATAGCCAATACTATTCCCTCAGATTGGGGGAAAGTCTGTCATAGTTGCAGTTGTATTTGTTACACTTATTTGTTCTATATAGCCACTTCTAGAATCCATAGGGGTATTCATTAAAATTTGTTCATAATCATTCATCAAAATCATCGAAAGCCTTTTGAATTTGATCACCTGTTCTTGAGATGATAGGCTTCAACATAGATATTGATCAAACTTTTACATTCATGAAAGTATCTTGACGTGTTTTCTTGACACTTCCCTAGTATTTTACTATTAAACAAACTCTCAAATGAAGACCAACCTGTGTCAAGTCTGAATTCAGACACTGAACATTATTCTATATTATCATTGACTTTGAATACCAGATGAATACCATATAACGTACACATAAGTTGCTTGACATGTTGAACTTAAATATCAAAAGAGAGTGACTTATTGAAAACTAACATTTGTCTTACTATTCAATAAACCTGAGATTGCCAATTATTAATTCAAGAAGAGAACTCTCATCTTAAACGAGTCGTACTGAATTTAACTCCCTTTTTCCCCATACCAAAAGAGTTGAATTTGAGACTTCCAGGGCTGAGATACTCCTTTGCCCATATTGCATAATTCTTTGGTTAAAATAAATGGACAGAAGACTGAGGGAGGCTGCTCAAAAAGGAGATGTGCAACACTTGCAAAACTTGATCAAAGAAGACACTCTTCTGCTCAGGGGAGTTTCATTAGCAGGTTGCGAAACTCCTCTGCATATTTCTTGTTCGAGTGGCCATCTTGAGTTTTCTAAGGAGATCATTCACCTGAGGCCCGAATTTGCAAGAGAACTAAATCAGGATGGATTCAGCCCTTTGCATATTGCCTCAGCAAATGGAGATATACAGATTGTGAAGGAGCTATTGAATGTTGACTACAATCTATGCCTTCTCAAGGGGAAGGACAGAAGAATTTCTCTTCATTATGCAGTAATCAAAGGCAGAGAACATGTCATGAAGGAGCTTCTTGTGGCTTCTCCAGACTCAGCAGAAGAAGTGACTGCTCGTGGCGAGACTTGTCTTCATTTAGCTGTCAAGAATCATCAGTTTGAAGGATTCAAATTATTACTTGACAACCTCAAGGAATTTAACATGTATGATCTTTTAAACAAGAAGGATATCCAAGGAAACACTGTTTTGCATCTTGCTGTCTCAACTAAGCAATACGAGGTAAGTATCTCTACTATCTTCATTATGCCTCTTCATGTTGATTTTAAACTTTATTTAACAGATGAGAGCAATGATTCATTCAGGTTGTTGATATATTGCTCGATGAGAATGTTGTTTCTAAGGGCACAATTGAGATGAATTCTTTGAACAAAGGAGGCCTTACACCTTTGGAAGTACTACTTAGGGAATCCGGAGATAAGAGATATTGAGGAAATTCTAAGAACATCTGGTGCTGTATCTGCTGAACTCTTGCAATCTTCGCAACAAGAAGGTTTGCCACAATCTTGGGTTGTTCCAGTTCAAGATCCATCAAATGAACAATCCAGCAGAGAACAAACAAGAGACGATGGGCCTCGATCTAATTCTAAGAAGCTTCAGGATTTCTTCAAGTATAATAAGACCAAAGATCCTCCAGGAAAAGTAAGAGATACCCTTCTTGTGATAGCCATTCTAATTGCAACAGCAACTTATCAAACAGTGCTTAGTCCACCAGGCGGTGTTTGGCAGGACACTTATTGGCCTGAGGGAAATAAGAGCAACAACAATGATGTCAATATGGAGTCCTCGCGACGTATTGCAGGACAGTCAGTGATGGGAACCAACAATCCAATTTCCTATGGCTTGTTCTTGGTTTTCAACTCCATCGGATTTTTCGTATCCCTCCATACAATAAATTTCCTGACCATAGGATTTCCTTTGCAATTGGAACTACAGGTCTCACTTGTTGCCTTGATAGCAACCTATGATACTGTGATGTTTGCGATAACGCCTAACCTGGGAATATCTCTCTTCTTTTTTATCTTTTCTTCAGTCTTTCCATTTTTGTTGCCTTGCATTACAAAGTTGGTGAGAAACTATTGCAAGAAACCTATATTCTTGTCAAGAATTACAAACTGTTAAGTTACTTGAACAACATCTTTCTGTATATTTATTCTTCTTTGAGGTTCAGTCAGGATAGATTCAGATTCTGCAGTAATACTTGTGTATGATATTCAATTATAATCTCTTTTACTTTCAGATATTTTTCTTCTAATCAACCATCCTGATTAATTTATGATAATGGAAAATGAACTAATGGATACATTTCATACTGATACAAACAAAAAGATCCTAGTCAATTTGATCATAGAAATAAAAAAATCTCTGTTGGTGATTTCTTTCTATCTGTCTAAGCATCGGTGGACAGAGTTCACCCAAAATAGGTGCTCAATGGAAAGTAGATGTGAGTGCAAGCTGGCCTAGACATCACCGTTATAAAAAAGAAATAGGTGTTCAGGGGAATAGTTGATGTGGGCTTATGCCTATTATCTAATGACATTAGTACGCGTTTCCTGATGATTCAGCCTAATCCTCAGGTGTTTTTTATTCATTAGTCATACTTGGTTGGTTAAACATAACCTTTAAAATTCATAAAAAACCAATATGAACAAGAAAAAATGCAGAATGTATCATTTTCTAGTCAAGATTAATCATTCTTAATTCAAGAAGAAACCTCTTAAAATTTCTGTAAAGCAATTTTCTCGTTTAGACACCTCAACACATCATCTTCGCTGTGTCAGTTGAAACTCCAAATTACAAAATGATCATCCAGACACCACCAAATTTTATGTGCCACTTTAGTGTTGGGTGTCCGCGCAAGACACAATGGGGACAAATTGGAATGTTTAGTTGTCAGTTGAGACCAAGTTGAAGCACTCTCAAAATTGGAGTGCTTACTTGTCAGCTGAAGCCAAATATTAGATCCTCTTATTAAAGTAAAATAATGTTTTAAGTGCTTATCTACCCTCAATTTTTTATTGTTATTTTTTAGAAGAGTATTTTTAGAGGTACGTCCACAAGACCACAACAAAAGATTTTGACAAATTCAATTGAATTTCTTCTTCCTTTTTACCCTTTATGTTGTTAACCAGAAAGAAGATAATGACATAACAGAAATACTGAAATCCCTTGAAAGAGAGAGGAAAAAACACACAGAAGAAAACAATATTTTTGGAGAGAAAATGTGTCAGTCTCAACTCTCAAGTGGTCACATGCACAAACATTTGTTTAATTCCATGGAAAAAATTGGAGTTCAGAGCGGTTACATTGTATTACAATTATGGCAATTTCATTGCACATGCACTCGACAAGGTATGGGAGTAACTTTCTTGTATTATTCTATTTTACAATGTGAGCGAGGCTACAAATCTTAGTAGTTGAGTTGATCAAATTAGTGAAAATCAAGTTCTCCTAAATTTTCTCATGATAGAAATTACGGTCAAACTCAATATATTTAGTTCTTTTCTAATAAATTGGATTTGAAGCGATATTAAAAACAACTTGTTATCACATGCACCAAAATGTTATTGTGTAGTATACATCAACCTTTAACGTGATTTCTATGATTCTATTCCTGTAATTTCACACGTAGATTTATATTCAATTTTTTCAATGGACCACGATACAACATTTTGTTTCTTACTTCTCAATTAAAGGAAGTTTCCACTAAACAAATACACTGTAACCAATAGTGTACTTTAATTTTTATCCTGTCCAATCCACGTCTACAAATGTGAAAATGTTCATGATTGCTAAATGCTACTAATATAATACGTCAAGTCCAAGGGCTCCATTTAAACAACATAAAATTTGTTCCACAGTAACTAAATTTTGACCGTAAATATGGACATCGACAAACTGACAACACTTTCTGCAAAAGTAATATTTGTATCGTCGAAAAAATCGCCATAGTATTAGCTCATAACATTAGCCAATGCCAAACTACATAATTTAGACATATTTCACTACCATATATATTATTGTGACGAGCGAGATGAGAGATTTACTATGTATCCAAATTACACCTAATTTTGACCCCATGTATCTGAGATACATCTATCAGGATGTATTCGAAGACATAAAAATCTGATAAGATACGTAATGTTACAAACTCGATTCATGTATCTAAGTAATTAACTTCCAAACTGGTGATATTTATGTAAGTTTCCCAGTAAAATTGCAAATTCAAGTAATTTTTAGCGGTACGTATAAACACTAGACAACCAAATATTTGATTTGAATTTTAGCTCCCTATTTCCCCTTTTATGTACTGAAAAGATGAAAATGACTTAACATATATACAAGACATATTGAAAGAAAAAGAAAGAAAAATATATTTATGTCAGTCTCAAGTGTCAAGTTGGTCACATGCACAAGCATTTGTTCACTTGTATGATTAATTGCACATGTAGTTTGTTCCCCTGCCCAGAATAAATTACAACTGTCAAGGTGCATGCCTTCACTTGTCTTTACTACCACAAATGACTATAACACAAACTTCATTGTAATTATATATCTAGTAATCCTGTTTTAGTGCATTTGCTTTGTCAATATAATCTCACCCACATACTTCTTCTTCATCACCTTTTTTATGTCCCTTTCTTCATTCGTGTCTCTTTATTATAAGTGACAAATGGGCCAGTTGAGCGGATCAAGATGAATTGAGTTAATAAATGGGTGGATTATTGATCAGCTCAAAAGTTACTTAGATTGAAATGTGTGTCATAATCCAAACTGTTCAACTCTCTTATTAAGTTTTAATTGCTTTATTTGATTTTCTCTTATTTTTTAGTATCTTGAAAAATTATTATTTTTCGTTATTACAAAATAAAAAAATATGAAAAAATTTCTCATGAATCAATTTGCGCTACGCATCAGTCCAAACTTTGATTGGCAGAGCTAATAAATAAATGGGTCAATAATCATCCCAAATTTGAACGGGTCAATAATCAACTCAAACTAAGGCGGAATATCAACTCAAACTTGGGTGGGTTGGATGAGTTATGAATTCATGGGTTAATTTTGTCACCTCTGCTCTTTATAAACTATCTACGCATTTTACATTTAATTATCATTTTTACACTCAATTTATTTTGGGTGAGCAATAACAAAGTTCTTCAATGGGAATTATTATTAGATAAGAAATGCTAGCAATGTAAACATTGAACTCATTCAGCTCAATCGAGACAATTTGAAATTGATAGTGGCTATTTTACAAATTAAAAAAAAGTTTACTAGTAACTGCTATTTTTATATTAGAATTGGAAGTCACCAAGAGATCACTATCTCAAATACTGTTATATTGTAGTTCAAATATAGTGAATTAAAATAAAATTTGGCTCAATACATAAATAGCCCCTTAAACTTGCTAGGATATTTATTCCAATTGAGCACCTAAACACATGATAAAATGTTCTTATTAAAGACATGACACACAAATTTTGAAAAAGCTTAGACATAACGCTCAAATTTTGAAAAAGCTTTTGCACGTTTATAAGACCAGTCAGTGCACAAAACATTCTGCATTATCAAAACTTTGATATGGATAACCTACCCTATCTAATGCAAACACTAATGACTGCTTCCACAACTCGAACCCATAACCTGTATGTCATAAGCACTACATATTAAAAAGCTGTGCAACTCTGATCTGTATAAACTATAAACATGCCAACCTGTGTTTTTGACAGTGTCCTAATCATACAGATCATTGGAATATTGACTTGGATAACAAGAAGAAGTATCTAATACAACAGAAAACAATAAAGAAAACAACTTTTTTTAGCCAGACTGTAAAGCAAAAGCAACACCCATCTGTACATACCATTTCATTTCATGAGTTCTTCTAAAAGCACCCTCAAAATGTTGCCAAACATAAGATAAAAAGAACAAAAACAAAACACAAGAACCACACATTTTCCCCTTCTTTCTTTTTTTTCAGTACAATTTTCAGTTTAATCAACCCTACACCTAACCTGATAACTACATTAACAATACTAATCAAACAACTAGTTGTTGTTGTTGTTGCTGCGAAGACGATTCATCTTCGTTGAAACAAATATATTGAAGCTTTGGTGATCTTCCCATAAATAAGGAAGAATCTTCAAAATTCATGGGTGGTGACTGCATTAGCATCTCCTTTTGTAGATAGGCACAATAAGTCTGGAAAGTAGTGGGAGTTACATTTAAATGAAAACCCAATCCAAATAGGAAATCCACTTCAAGAAAGTTCATCTCTGTGATGCTGATTCCTCCAACTTTTGCATAATATGCATTATTGTAGTACCTATACATATAATAAAATAATTTCAGCTTACACTTTAACTACACTTTATATCTTAAGTGTGTTAATCAATTGTGATTAGAGAAGAGGTGAAAGGGTCATTAATGGAATATAGCTTTCAAATCAAATGAGAATGTGTAATCTTGACCATGTAACTAAAAGAATTGGGTGGCTCTATTTGAAAGTGGGGTTGATTTTTTTAAAACTCAAAAATAAAGGAGCAACCAAGTTGCATTGTCACTATGTTGCCATTATTTGATTTCTTAACCAATCATTAAGCCTTTGGTAAGTGCTAATAAGAATATTAGGAATAACTCGTTAAGTCGTAAGATATGCATATATCTTTTTTTTCAGATTTTATTTATAAAATTATACTGAATATGTTATTGTTATTGTATTACTGATATTAAATAAATTATTATTATCGTGTACTAAGAAAGGGTATAACTTAATGCAACCTCCAATGTCTACTACGTAGAGTAGTAATTTAGTAATAATTAGTATACAACTAAACATCAAAATACATTGCCTCTTTCCTTTTTCTATTTTTCTTTTTTTGCGTTTTGTTTCTTTTACAGCAATTCATATTATGGAAATTTACCAATGAGAAAAACTAAATCCATATAAAATTATGGAAATACTCTGTTTACCTACAATTTTTTTCCTAAATTATGAAAAATACTATTTCAAAATCAAAATTCGAAGAAAATCCATGATTCAATAACCCTTTCAAGTTAAAAAAACAAAAAATATTGTTTTTTTTTTAATTTTTACTCAAATAGATCGGCTCATATATATGAATCCTCACTATCAATATCTATTTTTAAAAG